AAAGGGGGACAAAATGAACATGGAGAGGAAGAAGACGATCCACCTGGAGCTGAGGAACTGGACCCCGGCAGCTGTTGGAGAACTTGTCTTGGACAACTGCGAAGCAAATGATGAAAAAGTTGAGGGGTTAAAAGATGAATTTGTGAACCTAGAGTTCCTCGCTTTAATAACTGTAGGCTGATGTTCAGTCTCAGATCTCCCCAAGCTACCTAAATTGAAAAAACTTGAGCTCAGCAATAATAGAATCTTTGGAGGTCTGGACACACTAGCAGAAGAACTTCCAAGCCTCACACATCTGAACCTATGTGGAAATCAGCTGAAAGAGATCCGCACCATGGAGCCTTTGAACGTGTTGGATTGTCTGAAAAGCCTGCATCTGTTTGGCTGTGAAGTCACGCATGTGAATGATTACCAAGAGACTGTCTTCAAGGTGCTGCCCCAGCTGTCCTGTCTGGATGGCTGTGACTAAGAGGACCAGGAAGCATCTGACAGGAATAAGGAGGTGGACGGTGTAGAGGAAGCCGCCAGCTCTTATGCCAAGGTGGATGGTGTAGACAAAGAGGAAGAGGATGGAGAAGATGAAGAAGATGAGCATGAAGAGAAGGAAGACAGTGGAAAAGGTGAAAAGAGAGAGAGAAACAGATGATGACGGGTAAGATGATTAAGGCCCCAAAGGAATCTGCAAGAAACAGAACTGTTGAGTATTGGTTGGACTGCTCATGGATTTCTTAGCTGTTTTAAAAAAGGTAACTGTTAGCCGGGTGTTGGTGAAGCACGCCTTTAATCCCAGCACTCGGGAGGCAGAGGCAGGGGGATCTCTGTGAGTTCGAGGCCAGCCTGGTCTCCAGAGCGAGTGCCAGGACAGGCTCCAAAGCTACACAGAGAAACCCTGTCTCGAAAAACCAAAAAAAAACAAAAGGTAGCTGTGATACAAGCCCCAGGACACCCTCACGCAAAGAGCCAAAGGATAGTTCCCAAGACATTGCACATCCCTCCATTTAGCACCTTGGTAATCCACCAACAAGCCTGGCTATTGCCACCCCAACAAAATCGGACACATTGTTAGGTTATTGTGTAAGACTCTTGCTGTATTGTGACAGCTGTGTTTGTTGAGTTGACTCTCCTGACTG